TTCATTCTGTCAGCTAGAAAGATTCAAAAGCTGGCAGCTGCTTCCTCTTTGCACGTAATAGCTGGGACTGGTTAAGCACTAAACCAGAGTGGCACAAAACGTTTGAGTCAGCATAGCAAACATCCAGTCCTTGGATCTTCATGCTGCATAGGCAGCTTAAATACCTCTCCTCCTAAGCCCAGTAAAATGATGCAAGAATGTACAAACTCCAAACTTCCAGTGTTCTCCCTTTAACTAAGATAAAATTCTAAAGTTAAAGAAGTTAGCTAACAACTATGTGAGGAGTCAGAGGCTGTCTGCTGTGGACGGTGCTGCCCTTGCATAAACATTTACATCTCCTCCACTACAGAATGACCACAATGAACTGGGCATCCTCTCCGATCCCTTGTGACCATCATGTCACACTCATCACACCCACATACCTCCGAAAGGGTGAAGCTGTGGGGCTTTCACCACCCTTTATAACTAGAGGCACCTCTTGAATCTGCATTATCCAGCACTGTTGGACATGCAATGGTTAATGGTATGAGAAAAGTTTCAACACAGTTTCATAAAGAGCAACCACGCATATTCCCAGGTTGTCTTACATCTGGAGATTTCTGGGCTTTTTTAGCTGCATCCTACATGCATTTAGAAAAACTGAGAATTAAATAAAATCCCTTCCTGTTGCTTTTCTCTTACTGGAATAAAACCAACCCCCTGTAGCACTCAACACATTGCTCATCAGAGCGCTTTCCAGCCAGAGCACTTTACAAACTCAAATTATGCATCACAACACCCTTGCAGGATGGAAAGAAAAGTTAAAAAGCTGGTAACAAACTGTTACTTGTTGGAGCAATTTCATGGAGATCAAAGGCTATGACGGACCAAAGAAATTTAAGTAAAGGGGTGTGGAAGCACTGAGGACAGAATCTCCGTACTTCACAGCGTGAATAGATATGGAGACCATTCAGTGCTTGCAGACCTCAGGTTTTTTTGTTTGAAAGCCAAGCACTTTTGAGAAAATCAGGCTAGAAAAACCAGACTCCATCAGTGTTAAAGCAGAAGAGCAGTAATTAAGAAGGCCTCAAAAGCACCTAGATACCTGGCTCCTGTCTGAAATCCCACATATACAAACTTAGATCTTTAGGTGCTTAAATACTTGTTGAAAACATGTCCATACATGAAGCACACCAAATACAAACCTCAGAGACCATGATCATCTATCCCCTGAACAAACACTTTCCCATCCAGTATGGGTTTCTGTCCCCACGTATTGTCTCCTATCGTCTCCATGCACTGTTTGCAGACACTGTGGCACCATTTGGGCAGTCTCTAGTGGTCTTCTTCTTTGCCAGTTCAGTGTTTGTGATTTCTATTTCTTCCTGTTTTTAAGTGGCTTATCTGGCACAACATTATTACAATGTTATTATTTTCTGGCTCAATGAAAGTATGATTAAAGCAGAGAATATAAACAGACTTTGGGAAAAGCTGTCATTTAAATCCTTCCTGATTAGCTTCATTCCTTTGTAAACTGTCACTGACTCTGGAATGGGAGCTGGTGGGCCTCAGTCAACTTTAACATCTGGACCCAGTGTCACAGTCTGAATTCACAGTAGTTCCTGTCATTACAGAGGAATAAACCACTGTTCTTTAACCCTAAACCTCCCAGAAATTAGTATTTTCATACCCTGTGGAAAACCCTAAGTAAAACTAAAGCAAGAGCCCAGAGCCCTGCTGTACTGCAGCTGTAAGAGTGCTCAGCACATTTTACCCCGAGAGATGTTTCCCAAAGTTACAGAGCATATCAGAGGGACAATAAGGGACTGCATGCTGGTGGAGGATAGAATGCCTTTACTCCTGCCACCACTATCACACTCAAAGATCATCTCTCTCAGTGAATTTGAAGCGGAAGGAAGAACTTGCAGCTCACCAAACACAAGTCTCTTTGGGAACTATGGAGTTTGTTCATCACAAATTACTCTCAGCTGCCCTTCCTGGGAGGAGATAGAGAGATCTCCTATAAGCTTTCTGTGATTGATTTGTGATGGGTCAGGCTCACAGAGCACAAAATAAAGAGCCTTCTGTTAGGTTCAAGTAACACAGGCACTGCTGCAAGAAAAAGCAAACAAAGAGCTTCCCTTAGTTCAGACACTGCGGTATTCTCAGCCTGTGAACATTGACTTTTTTTTCATATTATGTACATATAGCCAAGCTGTGGCCTTCCCTGCATTTGCCCTCCCGGCAGCCACATCCTGGCTGCCCCACAGTGCACAAACCCAGAGCGGCCACCCAGGCTGAGCCAGAACAGTGGCAGCATGGAGGAGTGGACACTGCAGATGGATGGACAAAGATGTGGAGTGGAGAGGGCTGGGATCCTCCAGGTTGAGAGAATTCTCTTCCCAGCAGCTTGGCTGGTATCTACATTCCTGCATTCCTTGCCCTGCCACAGAACAAGGCAGTGTTGTATAGAAGAAGGCTGACTGCTTTGTTGTGGGTAATAAACATCAGGAGAGCTTGAACAGAAAAACCAAAGTTTTACAGTTCCTCTGCTGGCCTGTGACCTGAACATATAAACACTTAACAGACAATCGTAGGTTAAGTTATTGTGTAGCACTTTTTTATAATGGCAGTTTCTCTGAACCGAACTGAATTTGCTTCGATTAAACTACAGCCTTCTTGACTTTTTTTTCTGTCTTGATATAAAAATGCCAAAACTCTGAAGCACTAAGAACCTTTTTATGCCAAGGCTGCTAAATAGATTCTACCTTGCAAACCCAACCCTGAGAATCAGAGTTGCTCAGACGATATGGCAAAGCAGTTATCAGCAGTTTAAATGCCACTAAAGCCTGTTACTTTCATGTTCTGAAGCAATAAAACAAATAAGAAAGAAATATATCTAGATTCTGATAAGTACTATACTAAGCTCCATATCCTGGGTGATTGGGTCACCCGCCCATTTTCCAGTGGATAAGAGATACAGAAGTTAGACTTTTGGGAATGGTAGTTTTTTTGCATTAATTTGGTGGGTCTGACACACAAGCAGACAGAAAAAAGAGGAGTCGGAGCAAATAGTTTCACTTCTCTTTTTCCTTTATAAGCCTTTCTTTTTCCTTTATAAGCCACGTTTTTGTTAGGATATATGGAGCTTGCCACTGCCCTCAGCACCCTCCTGTATAGGTCCTTCATGGAGGAAGAGCAGATAAAATATTTCAGAATGAACTTTCCTGATTATCACCTGGAAGCCAAGCATTTCCTAAACACGCTCCCTTAAACTTGTCCCATGTGGATGTTTGGATATAGCCAGCATGTTTTGGAGGGTGAAAGAGCTCAACAGAATAGGCACAGATATTCTATGCCAGTTAAATCAAGCTTTTTTCCACACAGTATACCAATTTGGTAATACACATGTAGTTTCATAAGCCTGCCTTGTTGTGCTGAAGATTAGTGGTGTAAGCGGAATATTGAACAGTTAAGTTTGTCTTTAAGCTACCTTCTTCCTTCCTACAGTTGTCTTTTTCTATTTGCACTACCTGCCTATATGTTCTTGCAGTTATTCAAATACGCAAAAGTCTGTGCCGTTGGACTTCTGATCACAAAAAAGGAAGAGGCAGCATTCAGTTTGACAGGAAAACAAATAAAGAATGAGAGAGAACTGTTGATCTTGGTAATTTTGAAAGAATGTGAGTCACAAACAGCAAGAATCAGAATGGATGTCTCTGGACGTTTGAGCTGTACAAGTGCAATTTCTCTTTAGCAACACGTCTATCAGAGGCACGCTTACTGTAAGCCAAGCCAATGAATTAGAAATCTCTATAATAATTCTTCTCTTTTTTTTCTCATTAAGTGGACAATACAGAACATCTCCAAACTTATTGTTTCAAGCAGATTCCCTTCAACTTTTCTATTTCAGATGACTGGATTCCAGCTCCTGATGAACGACTGTTTTCTGAAGTAAGATCTGAACCAAAGGCCATTCACAATCTTCCAGAAACATTTCTAATACTGCTAAAGTTGATAACAGCTTGTTTTTATTAAAATAAGACATTGATGCCAAATTGGAGCTGGCAATATCATTTAAAGAAGTGTTATTCTGGATATAAACAGGAAATGTTTAGACTACTGATCCCGTGATTAATGAATGTTTCCACATCCACATAGCAGCCAATTTTCCCTTTCCTTGGAGATAACTCCATAACATTTTCTAGAGAAGGGTCAAAACTTTGGAGCCTCCATGCTGAGTATATGAAAAATGGCATTTCTGTAGAAAAACTGGTGTGTTTTTCTCCCTTTGATATCAAATCCAGGTATTCAAACTGACTCCAGTGGGAGTGGAAACCAAGGCAAAAACCTTCTGAAAGGTTTTTGTTCGTGCTTCTTTTTTTGAGGGCCAAGGAAGTTTTCCTTTGCAAGAATTCTCAGATTTCCCTAAGTCCATTCAGAGAAAATCACTTGACTACAGACTACAAAAAACTCTTTCCTTCCTCTTAGACACCCTTAATTTTTTCCTGGCTAGGGGAAAAAAAAATGAAATTGATTTAGTAGTTCCAAAATGTATTGTATGGATCTAGCTAGACACTCCCATTAGTCTTCAGGCTACACATTTAAATACATGCTAAAGGGGAGCCTAATAACACAGCCCTCTAATTGCCTGATCTAATTGTCTGACCAGAGTACCAATTTAGAATAACAACAGGATGGGGCAGAACTTGTTAGCTAGTACATGCTGTCCCCAGACCAGCAAACCAGGGAAAAGAGAAAAATACAGTGTTTATGTTGACTTCTCTATTGTTTTTGCAAGGTCATAGAAACCTCAAACACCCAGGAGAGACCAGGACCATCAGGACAGTTGTTTAACTTGGCACTTTCAGTTTCAAGCCAAGCTTATCAATATTTCTTCATTGGAAAATCTGAGAAGGAGGAACTCCGCTGAGAATCTTCAGGCGAAATGAAAAAGAAAAATCAGATGGAAAAACATACCAGTGCTTTTCTAATGAGCTCACAGACAAGTTTAGACTTACCCTAGAGAGACAGCCAGGTTGTTCTGGAGCTTCTGCAAGGTGTCAGCATATCACTGCTTTTGCTGGAAGCAGCAGCAATAGGCAGGACTCCACAGGAGATAGAATTACAGTTCAGCATCTGGGCTTTTTTTTCTCTGAACTCTTCGGAGAGGTTTTGCTTCTGTTCTATCGAGCTCAAGACTGCTTTTCTCCTGCTTTTGCCATATGCAGGGCATTGATTTCTCCAGTAGCAATCTGTTGTACGAGAAGTGGAAATCTCTGTACAAACACTTACCTATATCATAAAGGCCTTCTAAGGCAATTACTTGGCAGAAAAACTCTCTTACGTAAGCGCAGTTGCCCTAACCTAAAGTGTTTCTACTACATAGCTTTCAGGAATGAAGGGTGTTTAAAGTTAATAGCTCACTGTGTAATAGTTAGCTTTCAAAAATGCAGTTGTTCATACATGGAAGGGGTTTCCTTAGCTAAATAAATAAATAAATAAACCAGATATGGCAGATACGAGCATCGTTGCTACTGTCTAGTAGACAAGGAAAAGCAGTAATAACATCACTTAATTCTGCAGGAATATATATCATATATATAATGTATATTTTTTGTGCTTTGTACCTAGGTATGAAATTACTTTCATTAAGAACATGACCTCAAGTTTGCTGCAGTCTCTGAAACGGCTATTGGTCCAAATGTTTTGGGTAGTTAGTGATTCAAATATTTAAGTTTAGAAGTCTCCAGTAAAGTCCATGTGATTAAGAACTCAATGAAGACTTCATGGTTATGCAAAATTTGAGCAGGGCACAAGCACTCTGTAAGTCTGGTTCATTTCTTGAGTTACACAGTTTTAGGACATCTAACCGAAAGACTGACTCACCCATTTGAGATACAGTTGTCCCTCATGGTCACACTAACTTTATTCACAACCAAGTAAATAAACTGTGCTCCATGTTTATTGCTTTTCTTGCGTGTGTGGGACTGTGTGTACTTACATTTCCTTATTTATTTTGTGATGAATTTGTATTTCCTGAAGCAACTGCTTTCAGATTCAAACCTGGATGTTTCCTGTACAATCAGACAATATTCAAGGCACAGGCAAATTTCTGCCCCCTTGTTCAGAAGTAATAGCTGTGCTGTCATGTTTGTGTATCATAATTTCAAATACAGACAGAAGTTTGCTTAACCACTTACCAGTGGGCTGTCTTCAGTTTCATCTCCATCTTCTAATTTGAGCAGCTTGTACAGTCAAGCTTAGTGCAAGCAGCCATGCAAGCATAGTTTTTGGTAACACAGATACAGGAATGACAGCAGAAGTAGGAATCTGGCTTTAAGAGGAGGACTATATGACTGCATGTACAGGCATATCGTTATTTATCTGAAAGAAACAAAATTAAAGATAAATTTTTTCATTCATGGAAAATTTACAACCAAATATATTTAGAAATTCATGCCCCAGTTACTTTCTGAATAATACGTAATATTGTACACAGATATCTATATACTAAAGTTTGACCACTTATGCATTTATTTGAGTTCTTCAGTAGGATTATTACTGTAGCTTGGTGAAACTCGAATCATAGGCTGCAGTGGAATGACACAAACTGTATTGCAGTTAGCTTTTTTTGTTTCTTTAAAAAAGGAAATATTAAAAACTGCTTGTAATCCTGGAGTTTGTTTTGGATTTTAAAAAATGAATAAATAAATAAAAAACTTGAGAGGATCTTTATTCTTTCTTTCATTCTGGTAGATACTGCTAAGCCTCATTTTGGTTTGGTTTGGCCTCTGGTTTAACTATTTGACTTCACTTTCTTCCAAGATGTTTTGGGGATCTTTTTCCTTTAACAGATCTAACTTTTAATCTGAGCACAGCTGAAGTTGTGCCTCAGGTTACGTTCTTAGGGAGAAACTGAATGAAATTATCACTTCTGTGAGTATCTATAGCAGCTATTCCTCATAGCTGGAAGCTCTCATCCGCATAAAAATCTCTACAGCAGATCTGTTAGCCAAGAACACACATCTCAGCAAGCAAGTCCTGCTTACCATCTTTGGTAAACCCTTGCATTAATGTAGCTGTAAAGAGAGATCTTCACTCTACTCATCCTGGTAATACAGGACATCAAGCTTGCACAACACAGTGTACTGCTAGAGACCTCAGCTGGCTCTATGGAGCTGATACATTAATCTATGTGAAACCACCTGGGGATAGATTTGCTATTTTATCTCCTAGCAGAGAGCTTAGTCCAAGAGTTAGGATGTATTTGCTTTAGCAAAGGAGCTAATAAGGCAGAAGTTTTCTCCACACCCTCTGCACTGTACTGTGTATGTATGCATGTGTATCCTTTGAGCTCAGATGCCTGCAGCTCCTTCCAGTTCATCTGTCAACCTGTGGTTAGCATAATCCTAAATAACAAACAGAAGGATTCAGTAGAATTAAATTCAGGCCTTATTTTAGGTCTGATTCTGGTAATTTTGACCCATTCTCCAGGGAAACTCATCACAGAGCACCAAAAATGCTACATGTATTATCAAACATCAAAGTATATCACAGTAAATAAAGTATACATGATAATTTCTGCAGAAAATAAATTAGTACCAAGTCCTGATAGAGAGCCTCTGAAAAGTAATATAAATATTTTGAGCTTTGCTGCAAGCTGAAAAGAACTCATCTGAAGAAGCAACAGCATCAGATGTGGTTTGGCAATGGTGATGAGGAGACGGTTGGACTAGATGATCTGGTAGGTCGTTTCCAACCTTGTGATTCTATGATTCTATGATTGGCAAGATTTTTTAGGGAGCAGTGGAGACTGGCAGATGCACGAATTATGGCAAGAGTAGGGCTGAGCACAAAAATAGGTGGCAAAGCACATCATCCAGTGCCCAGACCCCACAGTGCTGAAGGAGGTGAGCAGAGCAGACCTGGAGAGGGTATCCAAGCTCAGCAAGACATCAAGATGATCGGGTAGGTTCATGGCAATACAGAAGGTAAAGCCAGAAAGTAAATTCACAGGTCAGGAGAAGAATCAGATTTGGAGAGGGCTCAGTGATGAGATATAAAGAGTCAGTTCATCTGAAATCTGTCATCTGCTGGAATGATTACGTATTTTATTTATAGTATGTATAATATTTATAATATTTGAAATCTGTGTATTACAAGTACTTAGTGAAATTATAACATATTTTAATGCAATAAAGATATAATGCAAATTTTACTTACCTGTTTTTGTTCTGCAGCTGTATTTTACCTCTCTCTCTGCTTTCTTATCAGTCTCCATTCACACTCATACTGACACTGGAAGACAATTCCTTCTCAGTAACAGAACAAAATATTTATTTCTCCATGTTCTTGTAACACTGTGCTTAGACCATACCATTGTTCTCAGTGCACTGAGTTGATCTGATGTATTACTGTTCATGCTTGGTTGGCCATAAATCACACAAGGAGGCTCTTCAATCAGCAAATATTCTGATGCAGGCTCGAGTCAAAAGCTGTCTCAGAAATAGAGATGTTATAATAGGTCACATCTATCTATCTGGCTGCATTCTCTGAAGAAGGTGGATATCAAAGTATTCAGCTATGACCCTTACAATGGGTCTCTTCTTGAAAGGAGTTCCAGAAGTATTGCTGCATCATAGATAAACAGAAGAAAATGTGTCAAAGGAAAACAACAACTACAACAACAAAAAACAATGAAAAACTATTTTATCTTTCTCTGAATTTCAAAAATTTAGATCAGATTTTGTGTGCAGCACACACCTTTTTAACTTTTGGTCTGTGTTCCTTCTAGCATTTCTAGTTTGTTCAACTCTCCAAATAGTAAAGCAACGTGACACTTGACATAACAGTTACAGGCAGTGCTCTCATTTCAGGCTCCTGTTCAGATTTAAACTAAGAATCAAGAATGCAAAGCTCTACTTATGAATTACTGCAAATATTCCATTGTTGACATGCAAGTATGGTTCAAAATGGTTCTGGGCACCTGTTTCTGTTTAACTCCTGCATTTCTACGACACATAAAATGGCTATCTAGTATTGGTCTAGAAAGCTCTGTGCCAGGTTAGTACACGAGTAGTCTGAAGGCTAAATCTGAAAGGAAATAGAGAACTTACCAATTTGTAAATATGTATTTTTTTTCATTAGATAAAATGTGGACTTAAGGAGATACTGTATGTATCTCCTGTTCATCTTTGCAGGGCTGCTCTGTTCAGATAGGGCACAGTGGAAGGTATACGGGCAGAAATCATTGTGAAGTGGTATTGATTTCCATTCACACCACACACAGTTGCAGAAATATAAGCCAAATAGTGTGTCTGCTCCTCTATTTTCCCTGCTGAGTGTGACCTCAATTTTCACTGGACGATTTGTACTTCTGAAGTTCATGGCATTTTGCATGACACTCAGATGGGAACTTCATTAGCTCAGCAAATTTCTGTTGGCCATAAGTTCCTGAAGTGGAATGGTATCCCTGATTCCTTGCTAGGAAATGATCTGCAGAGCTTGTTTGTTCTGTCAGAGATTTGCATGCAAGTTCAAATTTAGCTACTCATCTCCTCACCTTCCTGTCTGCTCAGATCATGTATCTGGAAAGAACAATAGCCTGTCAGCTGCTATGGTTTGATGGTCTTTTCTAATCTGGAGAAGGCAGACAGTCACCCAGGAGCAGAATGTTTTTCCCACAGCCATTTTATTTCTGTACTCAGTTTGTCTACTGATCACATTTTGAATGTGCCCTTTCATATTAAGGACTGTTACTCATGCGTGACCTATGCTCAGCGTCCCAAAGTTAAGGAAATATTTCAGCGGGGCATAGTCAGAGAGATCGTCAGGTAACACATGTGTTCCACACAGAGCTTAAAAGAGAAAAAAGGACAGAGACAAAATACTCATTCTTCTTTGTGAAGCCCTTCCTGTTCATGCTGCAGTTCATAAAACTTCTCCTGTTCTATATCCAGAGACTTGAAAACTAAAAAGGCAGTGATAATGGGCTTTAAACTGCATCCACACCACAGAAGATTGAACCTTAAGGAAAACTTCCTTATAAGAAAAACAGTGATGCAGTACAGTGGTTAAGCAACAGAAACTGTGGAAAGTCCACTTTTAGAAGCTTTCAAGAACAGGTTAGGCAAATATTTGTCAGGATTAGCTAATGTTCTGTCTTGAGCGAATGTTTTGTCCTGCCCTCGGAAAAAGAGGAGGACTGAACATTCCCTCCAAAGTTTTTTTATTTTATTTTATTTTATTTATTTTATTTTATTTTATTTTATTTTATTTTATTTTATTTTATTTTTTGTAGCATTACTCTGATTCTTTATGTTATAGCAACAGTATAGTTAATTCATGGCCTGGAAAATCTGCCCTCCTTTATGGAGACTAAAAAGAAATTGATTTACTATATTTGTGAAAGAGATTGGAAACTCCACTGGATTGCTATCTTTTAGCATGTGCCATAAGGAGAAGATTTCTCATTCACCTGGAAGACAATTTGATCTATCAAAGTTCCATGCAAGTGTAGATGGTGGGAAGGCATACTTAGGAAAAAAAAAAAAAAAGTGTATTTAACCAGTGTACTGTCACTAGAGACTTGATGGCATGTTCATTAGCACTTGAGATGGGATTTCTGTGTGAAAATCTGTTGTTTAGGTTCCCTCCATACTCAGTAGGAGCAGACATACAGCTCTTGGAGGGTACAGAGCCCATTTTTCTTAGTGTGGCAGCCTACTGACATGGCTGTTTCTCTGTGTTGACTAGAGACAGAATCTACAAAATCACCAAAGACCAGAGCTGAAATCACTGTAGATAAATTTCACCCCTGACGTCTGTAAATTGATTAGCTTTCTGAAAAATAGGGTATAATTCAAGTGCAAGGAGCAGAGCTTGTCAATCTTCTTTCACTGTATGAAGCAAAATAAATTTCTCCTGGTCTTGCAGAGCTCTGTGTATCAGTCACTCTTGTGCAAAACGTCAGATTAAATAACTACAGTGCTCCTATCCAGACTTAAATTCTATTAATAAAAGAAAAAAAAAATGCAAAGGCCAGTTAGATGTCATAGAGTTTCTACACATGAGAAATTGAAAAGATAATAAAGGGCAGATTTTCAAAGGTAAGACGCCTTCATTGCCAGGAAAATTTTTGCATAATTCTATAATTCTTGTGATAACAGAAGCTAGCATAAACAAACAAACAAACAAACAAAAAGATTGATTTCCTTTTCAGATTTCATGAGGTTGATTTAGATATCACATTATTTGAAAGACTCAGTAATATTAACTTTGGATAGATAACACAGCTGAGCAGGAGCAACAAGATACTGTAATTTACAAGAGCGCAGAATGGCTGAAATGTTGAAATGATTAAATTTAAAGAGTACAGAGCATTCATATTCAAGAAATAAATCTTAAGATAAACTCATAAGAAAATGTTTCAGCTTTTTTCACTAAAGAAATTATCCACATAGCATGTAGTGAAAAACTATTTGTAAATACATCAGAATTTGCCTAAACGTCACATATCCATTTAATTTTGTTTTCTCTTTTTTTATTTTATTTATTTATTTATTTATTTTTTGTTATTTTTTATTTTTTCTTTGTTTGTTCATATTGTGATGTATGCTTGCAAACAAATTATTTAAAATACATTCCCGTCATTTGTTTTATGGACAATCACAGATCTGGGAGGAAGTCAGAGAAACAAAAGTGATATGAATCCTCATCATAAACCTGCTGAGAAATGCTCAATTCTAGCGAACTCTCACACCTCTGACTCCTTCTTTCTGAGTTAATGATTTACATAGGATCATACGCATAGCCAATGGTTCTGAGCCACTTACAGTGAGCTGCCGAAGAACTCTCTCATTGGTGCACACAGTTCTCTTTCAGATGCATCAGCTAGTGACTTATCAGATGATGATGATTACCTCTACAATGACTGTCTGGAATGTGCTGTTCAAAAGTATCTTTGCCATCTTTGAAAAGGCCTTAGGCATAGCTCATCGTTCTGCAGAAGTAGAATGAGGAAGACTACAGACACAACATTTTGTCCTTTCATAATGAGATTTGCTATGGTAACATTTAAAACCCGTTTGGAGTTAAATGCTACTTGAGACAATATGTCAATGATACAAAAGTGTAAAAACCTCACTGCAATACTGCTCATACATTCTATGAAACGCTCTCAAAGCAGCAAAATATTTTGGCTCCGTAACAGTATTGTCTACTGATTTACTGAACTCAGAAATGCAGGCATCTGGATAGGGAGTACAGTTCAGTAAGGATTTTGGGCAAATGGCCAGACTGAAGGAAGTTTCCCAACACTTTCCAGCCAGGAAGCCTCAGCTGACAATTCTAGTGCCAGGCCACAGCACTGCCTTTCATTCACACTATGAGTGATCATTTGCTCAGAGAACAGCTTCCTTGTTGCACTGACTGAGGCCAGCATAGGACAGAAGTGCCAGAAGGCACTGTGTGTATGGCCTCCTTTGCAAATTGTTCATCCAGGCACACAGAAAATAACCAGAAAGAACAAGGCACATGCACTAGGCCCTGCCAAGATGTCAAGAGAGGTTCATGTGGTACAATGCAGAAACAGGACAGATTCCATGTGAATAAAGCCTCTATTTCCCTTTGTAGAGAGGCGCATGCCTTACTAGGATGTGTACTGTTTCCTTTCCAGCAACCAGTGCCTCTTAGGATTTGCTGATGAGCGCAAGTTTCTGTTGCTTTGGAAGAAATTGGTGCAAAAGATGATGAGGTGGTGTATTAACTCCTCTCTGCTTTTCAGTTGGCTTCACTTTCCATGGGAGGACTACTCTACTCAAACATTCAAGATGAAAAAAATGTCTTTGCTGGTACTCTTTTAAAAATATGTATTATTATTATTGTGATCCCTCAAGAGAACTGTTGCACATACAGAAACCAGCTAGTAAAGGGCAGAGATAGCAATCTGGAATGATTGAACCATACAAAAATGTCAGTGGCATAACATGACCTAACTGTGATTCCACAAATTATAGATGAATGCAGAGGCTGAAAAAGCAAAGGCAGAAAACACACTGTACTCTTTATATTCATATCCCCCAAATTTTACCAAATTCCTTGGACCAGTTGCAGACATTTACAGAAACTAGCTGCTTTCTGCACTTTGTCCCTTGAGAAATGGGCTCTGGGTAGAAAAGCTGACAAGAGAGCTTGAGATTAAACTTGTCCTCATCTTTAGAGGTCAGAAAGGTCATATTTACAGAGACACATGAGCAGATTCCTACCCTCAGTGTGCTGATGAGAACAGGTTGGGATGGAACAACATGACCTCTACAACTCTGCTACTGAGAAAAGCCATGTGTGCAAAGGCACGCACAAGATGGAGAGGGAAGAAGTGGAAGCTTACTCTCAGTGTTAGATTAACTCCTGCTTCTTACTGATAGGCTATCAAGTATGTGCTTGAGCTGAGAATCCCACGAGTGCCATGAACAGTACCACACTAACCTCTGCTCTGAGGAATGCTTATGAAAGATAGGGCACATTTGGTCTTGGATTCGTAACAGGACCTATCCAGAAAATAGGATGCTGTACATACTTGATACAGCTTCTCTTCTGAGAAAAAATCCTGAAGGTTTCACT